ACGAACGCCATTTTGTGTATATACATCTAGAGGCGCTGAAATCGACTGACTTTATTATTTATTATTCTCGCTATAAATAAGAGTTACTTACTACTTCCTAGAAATTGTTTTTTTCAGTAACTCTAAACAATAGCGTTACGTTGAATTACAGACACATGGGACTTGTCAACTTATGTCTCAGGGTGATGGGCGCAGAGGCAGTGCACCTCAGATCATTGCGAGTTAAAGCTCTGAGTCGCACTGTTATGGACAGGCGTGTTTACCGTCAGGCGCACGACTTGCTCGTCCTATCACTTAGTGTCATAAAAAATATATATAGCCAGCGGCTGGTAGCTGTAAAAGTGAGAAAAACTTTCATAGATCTGCAACAATCACATGGCAAAAATTCGTGAGGTCCGTTAGTTCGTTCCGTGTCTTAGTTGACATAGATTCTGGCACGGTTTGCTAGGAAACGTTGGTTCGAATCCAACCGGGTCGAAGTGATTTTTTTCTAAGTGTGCGTTAATTTTTGTTTAATAATTATAAGAAGCTAGTTGAGTAATTTCACAAAAACAATAATTGAATATAATGCTGGTGAAACAGCCTGACATTCAATAAAACCATTTAGACAAGGAACGACGTCATCATTTAATGTTACCATATACACGTAAACAATATAAGAACAGAGAAATTGACAGATATATAAAATAGCAGAATTATTGTACAATCCACTGCAAGCCACGTGTCAGGCAGGCGAGTCAAGGACTTTACACGTTTTCAAAAGATTGTCAATATATACGTATTGTAAACCTGTTTTGTCCATATGTCATATTTAATTAACATTTTCTTTACAAATATATATCGCAGCCTTTATACTACAACGCAATATTCCAGTTGAAAGGCTTGTCACCCTAACAAGCCGTGATCAGGTTCACGGCAGTAAAACAGAAAACTTCAGGTCCACAAATTTATTTAAAGTCGGTTAAAGAGACGAAAAGGTAGCAAAGAAGCCTGTAACAATAAAATGTATATATAAAAAACAGGTACACTATTACAAAACACTCCCTAACTTGATGGATATTTAGATATTAAGTATACACTTACCCTAAAAGGGCCGAGTTATACTGAATTGCAGATACGTATTCATAGGTACATGATAAAGGCTGTAGTGGTTATAAACTTATTAAAATTGGCACATGATTTAGATTACAATGATTATAAACTTAGTAAAGGAATCAAGATTAGACGCGATTAAATTTAAACAGCTCCGTACGCTGTCGCGATCGAGCAGGAAGTGACGGTGGAACGAAACAGAATCAGAATGCGAGGCGAAAGAATGGAACAATTAAAAATTTAAATTTAAATGCGACTGTCCAGGAACCGGAGAAAGGCGATAAAAAGGTGGGATGACGATGTAAGGAGGTCACACCGTCACACAGTACACTACAATTTTGAATTAAGTTTACAGAGATGAGAAGAACAAGCGAAAGTTTATCATGAGGAACCCAACTTATTGCGACAAAAAAAAAATTTGACGTAACATTCTGCAATACTGCTTTATTGTATAAAGACGGTAATATATTAATTAAATTTTATTGAATTGATATTCAATTATTTTTTGTGAAATTACTCCACTAGTTTGTTATAATTATTAATACAAAGATCGAACACTCAGAAAAAATTCCTTCGATCCGGTCGGATTCGAACCGACGTCTTCTTGCATACCGTGCCAGACGCTACACCAACTAAGCCACGGAACGGACCAACGGACCTCACGAATTTTTATATGTGCTTGCGTCGTGTCTTTGTACTTGGTTTTTCAACGACTTTTTAGTCGTAGCGCCATCTACGAGAAATCTTTGACAGATTTATCACCCAGTTAGTACCTTTACAGCTACCAGTCCTGGCGAGAGATGTCGCTATTCACTGTATTAATTAATTTTTTATTGAATTGATATTCAATTATTTTTTGTGAAATTACTTTAAAAATGAAAATATTTTCTGAGTGTTTTTTCTGAGTGTTCGATCTTTATATTAATAATTATAACGGTAATATATTTTAATAATAATAAATTTTATTATATATTATCAACCACCGCAATCCCGCTGCCTTAACCCCTCTCCCTTCCACCTGTGGGAGCCAAGATTGATACGGCTGCCGACTACCACTGCGCCCTGACAGCTTGTTATTAAAAATTGAGCGATAATCCCACCGCGGCCATGTTTAAGATTTTCCTTTCATTCGCGCGTTGTTTTGGGCTTTTAGAAAAAAGATAGCCTTTTTATTTAACCCGAAATCATTTGCGTCACTTTTATTCTGCGTCAAAGCTAAGGGACTAACCTTACTTTGTCTTTTAATCCTTCCTAATTCGCAAACTTCCACATTTCGCCATCGCTATTTTCTTCAACGCAATATTGAATGTTCTTTCCAAGGTTTGCTTCGTTATAATTTACATTACATTTACACGGTAGCGTGCAGAATTGCGCGCGGGAAAACCTGCACGCGCAATCGTCCGCGATTATATGTTTAAATTTTTTTAAGCTAAAGTCCTTCCGCGCGCGATTGCTCGTGTTCATTTTTATTACAACAGAAGAGCGTCCGTCGGTGTAAAAGGCAATCTTGGAACGCACGAATGCGCGCGCGACGCATGGGTGCAATCGCGCAGTCTTTCCCATTTCCTTGCTCACGATTGCCGTATCACGCGCGAAAGAGTGCCTGTGTAAAGCCCGCTGTTTCTGTCTACCTATTAAGCCACGTCTTTAGTCTTTTGTTTCTTTTTATATTGGTTCTTATAACTTTACATACATATATTGAAGGCACATTATACATTTATTGACACGGGCTTCTACGTACCTAACGGTATAATATGTTTTTTAATAATAAATCAGTGATTATAATAATAATAATAACGCACACACTCAACATAGGCCCGCATTAAAGAAACCTTGTGTCGCGGGTGCCATGGACATACACATAGACAACAACAAATTACACCCAAACTCACGAGACAAATAAATGTAGGCCATACAAATATTTCTCCCGGCCCGGGAATCGAACCTGGGACCTCTGCGTGGCATGGGAACCGTTCGGCCACGGAGGCAGGTTATTATTTTATTATATGTATAGTTGATTAATTCGATAGTTGGATAATTTGATGTGATAGTTATTTTGGCCAGTTTTAATGATAATATTTATAACTAGATTGCAAAATAAATAAATATTGGACAACATGACATACGTTGCTCTGATCCCAACGTAAGTACATAAAGCACTTGTGTTATGGAAATCGGAAACAACGACGGTACCACATACACTCAGACCCAAGATAATATAGAAAAGTTAGTTTCTACATTGACCCGACCGGGGATCGAACCCGGGACCCCAGAAATGGCGACACCATGTAAACCGGTGTGCAAGCCTCTCGACGACTGAGGTCGTCAAATTATATAATATTTTAATAACGTCAGAGTATTTTTTTATAACATGAAGTGACGGTTCGAACAAGTCGTGCGCGTGATGGCAAGCTACACGCCTGTCCATAACAGTTACAGTGCCACTCAGAGCTTTAAATTGCAAAGATCTGAGGGGCACTACCACTGCGCCCGTCACTACTTACTACCACTGTGCCTGTAATTTCACCAGCACCCTTTCCCTTCAAAACCGGAACACAGTAATGCTGACGTCACAACTTGGCGGCGGAAATAGGTAAGGTGGCAGCCTGAACTAACTTTTTCACAAGCTCTACTGCTACGAATAATTATACAAATGTCAAAAATTAGTCAAAAAAAGTTAAAGATTTGTCACTTAAAATCCGGACTATATAGTACCCAATGTAAAATTCGAACTATACCATTGACTTACAAATAAATGGACGACGGGTCTAATACAGAAACCACGAAAAAAATGTCCCAAGTCAACCTATTCGAAATTTAAATTGTAATGTCATCGCAGTATCGCGCTGTCAGTCGAACAAATGAAGACTAAAGCGGAGTTTGGCGCTCTGTATACGATTTTAGCGCCTTACAAGTGCGGACACTTTTTAGCGCGGACCCGACGTCCATATAATTGTAAGTCAATGAACTATACGTATAATCAACAATACATCATGCTAAACACTTTTATTTGTATGTCGCCTTCCGAACAACGGAACAAGATCCGTCAATATTTAGCTTAATATGCTGCCGTCAGTACATTGTATTAACGTAGCCAATAAGTTGTTCAATTACATTTTAAATAGCATAAGATTTTTCTCAGACATGTAAAATACCCGGCCTATCGTAACAAGACACATAAATGACTATAGAAAAAAAAACATATATTGCATATATCGAGTATATAACCAGAAATAGAGAAATATCATTTAATTTCTTTGAAAACTATTCTGCCAAATCACACTTCAAATGGACCAGTTTAACTTGAGCTTTCCTATAATAGACGAAACTTGAAAAATTACGTATTTAATATTTAATTACCGATGAAATGTCTAATTAGATGTTTTGCTGTTTTTCCCACACCACCGAAAGGAACAGCCCCCCATTGTTAGAGTATTATCTTTATTACAATAAATACAGAATATTTTTGGTATATACGGAGACGTAGACACAGGTCAGTTGTTGGCGCTGTACTATTTCAGCTTTCTAATTTGTGATTTCAGCGCAAACGAGAGTTGATATTTCTAAGTGATATAAGGCCCATTTGCCTGATGACGTGCCAGTGATTCGTCTCTATTTCTGGTTATATACTCGATGATTGCATATAATTTGCAGTCAATTTTGTTAATACACTTACAAATTTATCTATTCTACTATTAGTACAAAAATTACAGATAAAAAAAATAAAAGAATGAATGAAATTACTATACGATTACTGCTAAGTTCACCGAGCTCCCAGGACGTGAAGTTCGGTGAAACTAGCAAACAGATCGGCGGGTCTCGGCTATCTCTTATCATTTTAAGAAAATGTTATTATTGTTATTATTCTATGATTACAATCAGTAAATGTTTACGTTGGTTTGTTACAGGCTGCGCGTTTGTGAAGTACAGCTCGCATCAAGAAGCGCAAGCAGCCATCACCAGTCTGCACGGCAGTCAAACTATGCCGGTAAGCATGCAACTATACGCCACATAACATGGCTCAAAGCACAGACGAGTATTAATTACATTTATTTATTAGTAAATAAATTAAATTATAGAAGTGAGTTACAATAAAAGCTTGTATTTAAACTAAAATAAGATTCGAGCGATAGGGACTGTATTTTTTTACAAACGAAATTAAAACCATTAGAAAAATGTGTATCGTATACTATACGTGTTAGATTTAGTTCAGTTGATATAAAAAAAATCATTGGTATCATTGACTTACAAATAAATGAACGACGGATCTAATACAAAAACCACGAAAAAAATGTCCCAAGTCAACCTATTTAAACGTAGTGACATTTCTAGGAATATGAAAAAGCTAAAACGTTGAATTTAAATTGTAATGTCATCGCAGTACTGTCTAATTTTGCTTGCTTCGCTGTCAGTGGAACAAACGAAGACTAAAGCGTGAATAACGCTCTGTATACGATTTTAACGCCCTATAAGTTCGGACACTTTTTAGCGCGGACCCGACGTCCATATAATTGTAAGTCAATGATTGGGATATATAAACTACCTATTGAATACAGCGGTTTTCTTGTAAAATTTCGAGGTAAGTTTGTGTTTTTTTTTCTGTTGTGAAAATTTTTACGAATCGTATTTTCACACCATAATCAGTGTACATCTTCAATTTTACTATGGAACTGATCTGGGGATTTTCTAATTTGAGATCAGGTTAATAATAGTGATTTCCACCACATTATTATTATAAATATTTTGGAATTAGTGACTGTTTTAGTTCCTAACTTGCACCACCTACCGCGTCAGCATAACATTGAGTTATTTGCCTATCTATCTTTACTACGCGGTGGTAGAATAGTTTACTCTAACCCCACGTAACTAACTACTTATGCGTTATCTATAGACGTATCATCAACTTGTCTTAAACACCCTGTCAGTCTTCCCACGTACTCATTTACGCGATAGAAGACTGTAACAAAGCAATTTGTTATAATTCCACGATGCTAACAAGATAAAAACAAATGCATAGATAGGTTTATTATATCGATGGTGGTAATTTGAAATGTCCGAAGAGACATTTTGTCGTAAGGTCATTTTCCATTACGACAAAATGTCCCTTACGACGATATAAAGGTAATAATTTCGTCGACGTATCGAATTTTTAAATGTCGTAAGCGACATGTTGTAGTAAGGAACATTTTCCATTAAGACAAAACATTCCTTACGATATTTCAAATTTCCAACGTCGATAATTTATTTTAAGTCTATTCTGCTCTCCAAACCTCTGTGTTTAGCGCTTCTGAGGTCCAGTCTTTTAGGCCTCTGTCGATGTTTTTGGTTTGTCGTGTGGTCGTTTCCTGTCTTTGTGCGATCTATTCGCGTGCCATTCGTGAGCTGCTCGCGCCCCACATGTATTAACATGTATTTAATGCAGCACGCGTGCAGCGCGCGTGTAGCGCGTTCGCGACTTATACGCACCCTTATAATGTTTTATCTTATGCACAATACAATTCTACGTTCGATGACTGGTATTGCCCACATGAGGTGTAAAACAGCCCGGTCCAAATAGTATTGGGCGGACCACATTAATCGAATGGTACCCGAGAAGTGGATGAGAACTTGAGTACTCGAGGACGGAAAGCGGGGACGGCCGAGAATTCGTTGGCGAGACGATTTTGATGGGTTTGAGAACGAGTGGTAGGAAAACACCAAAGACAGGGAACAGTGGAGGATTTACGTCATTAAAAAATGTATATATCTTATCTTTTGTTAATTATATAAATCAGAATTTTTTCTATTTCATAGGTAAGCAAATTACCCATGAAATCGTAATATTGATTAAACTCTACTGCTCATTCGTAAGCCAGATTCCCCTGAGCAGGATAAGTAAGAAAATCTACGGGTTGCTCTTTGTAAATAGACATAATGTTCATTTATCACGTACTATATTTATTTTGAAACAATCTGAGAAAACTAGATGAGCCGCTGCCACGAATTTTTGTCATCCAAGTACGCAGAAGTTGTATAATAACCTTAATTATAAAGTTTTTGTTTCACAGTAAGTACTTATAAATCTCGTTAATAACAAATTATGAATATCGAAGCGTAAAATTTGTGACATTATGAAAACGACTGTCAAGAACAGGCAGTTTATTTTTGTTAGTCGTATTTTTTTTATAATAATAAGCGACGGAACGAACACGTCATATGAATGGTGGTAAGCGACACGCCTGTCCATAACAGTTGCAATGCCACTCAGAGCTGTAAATTATAGAGATCTGAGGGGCACAGCCACTGCGCCCGATACCCTGAGACATAAGTTGACAAGTCCCATGTACCTGTAATTTCACCAGCAACCTTACCCTTCTAAACCGGAACGCAGTAATGCTCACATTACTGCTTGGCGGCAGAAATAGGTAAGGTGGCAGTACTTCCCTACACGAAACCATTCACAAGGAGCTCTGCTGCTACTAATGTTATATCTATGTCACAAGTTTTGATAACAAAATTACAATGAAGTTATTCAATTATTTTTTTGTGAAATCACTCCACTAGTTTGTTATAATTATTGATATAAAAATCGACCACTCAGAATAAATTCCTTCGATCCGGCCGGATTCGAATCGACGTCTTCTAGCTTACCGTGCCAGACGCTATGCCAACTACGCCACGGAACGAACCAGCGGACCTTACAAATTTTTCTACGTGCTTCTTATTGGTTCTTTGTATTTGGTTTTCAACGACTTTTTAGCCGTAGTGCCATCTATGAGACATCTATGAAGGTATTTCGTTACCCAGTTAGATACCTTTACAGCTACCAACCCTGGCTTGAGATGTCGCTATTCACTTATAATTACATATATTTAGTGTTTAAAATTACAATTCTTAATATAAATCACATTATTATAATTGAGGCTATCAGCGCACAAGGGTTCTAACTCATTTTTATTTCTACAGTATTCATTAAAATGATGCTAAAGTACATAATTATTATATATTTAGATGCTATATTCATATATAAAAAAATATTATTATATATTGGTCACATATGATTAATATATACAAGTTTATTTGTAAAATAGTAACAACCTCGTAAGACTATATTACTAAATTAGTAAAAAACGAGTTTTTGAACCATATCTTTTGATAATTTATGAAATTAACTTCCATTAAGAAATAAAAATATTTAAAAAAATCTCTCATCTTCTATATGCATTATATGGAGTTACGCCACTGTCGCTTTGATAGCCTTAATTACAAGTGTATTAAAACGCTTCTGTGAGTGTTAATTTGTCTAAAGTTATCTTTCAGACTCAAGCGTATGCCTAGTTTGTAAATTGCAATTTGCAAATTAAGTATTCAAGTTCGAAAATAGAATTACGTAACGTGTAAACATTATCGTTGACTGCCATTATTTTTGATCAAAGATAACACTTTTATGATTAATGTACCTTGCTTCAACCTCCTGTAAACATGGAAAAAAAATTAAAGCTTCAGTCAGGTCAATATGTAATAAGTATACTTCGTCTCTTTTAGTATTAGAAGGAAGGAAGTTTCGGGTTTTTTATCAGGCGCCATTTCATTCGTCATTTTGTAAACAAAGCAATTTACAAATACAGCGAAACTAAATTCTCAAACATACTTCATGATTTGTGTAATTATTACGTTTTTGTTACTCATAATATTCACCAAAGATTAAATAAAAATGTTCTATCTTTACATCCCTAATCTATTATTTTCGCGGCTGCCAACACGTCACGTCCGACGTGACAACGTGTTTTGAACAAACACCGGTAACAAAGCCCGCGTCAACACCTTCCGTCGCAAGTGGAATTACGCAAAGGACGGCGACGAGGCAAACACGGATGGCTGTCATCGAGTGTTATGCACGTTTTTGGCGAAATACATTCACGATAGTCACCACCGCGGTGAGCGATCGATCTACAGTACTAGAACTATGGAATTAGACTGTACTTGAAAGACATTTTCACGTGAAATACACAGGGAACGGGTGCGGGTCGGGTGCGTGTCGGGTCGGATTTTATTTTATTTATTTATTTTTTACTTTAATTATAACGGACACACCAATTACAATAATTAAAGATACATTACTAACATAACAACTTAATAAACACAACAAGATTAAGTACCATTCGCAATAGCGTAGGCATCTTAACAATAACAGTGACCATCCATCCGCAAACAAGTCGCATTCAGGGTTGATGGCGAGGAGAGAGTTGAGCGCGCACAGGGAGCGCGGTATGGGTGATTTAGCGCGCGCTACGGTTCGGCACCACGCGGTGGCCATCAACTGGTGTCTTCTAATGCGGTGGTAGTTGACGGGGGCAAAGAGTCGACACAGCTCATTATGCAAATTATGTGGATGCACGGCGGATGTAATTCCGTGTATTAATATGGACGACAACTCGCTGTATTGTCAGTGTGTTTCACGATTTTAACTAGATGAACTGTGAAAAAGCAGTGGTAGCTTAATGGTGACCTACCACCTCTCAAACAAAGGGTCGTGGATTCCGGGTTTGTATCTCTGAGTTTTTGAGAATTTATTTGCAAGATGTTATTTAAAGCTTTGACTTTTTCGGTGAAGGCAAATCATTTTAATGATGTGTGTTAAGCTCCCAAGCCGCATGGAAGTAGCAGCAGAGCTCCTTGTAAAAGTTCGTCCAGGAAATTACAGGCACATGGGACTTGTCACTCAGGATGACGGGCGCAGTGGCAGTGTCCATCTATTCTTCCATAGATAATACAACTCGAACTAAAATGTTATGAAAGACAGAAACGCATACAGCCATGATGGTAAAGATATAAAATAAATTATTTGAAAATACCAAGAATGCTGCAGAATTTGAATTTAGCAAATGTTTAATTGTTTTTCTATACTTCAGGGTTATATGAAATAATTCCAATTTTTCGAGCATTAAAACTTTTTGCTTAATCATAACGTATAAAAGAAGTACAGTGCTTTTTAATTTTTAAAAATCC